GTCGCGACGGGGCTAGGGGGTCGCAACGGGGCCCAGGAGGGGCGCTTCAAGGCTAGGGGTACGACGGGGCCCTGTGGGTCGCGACGGGGCTAGACGAGGGGCACGACGGGGCCCAGGGGGAAGGCACGGCGGGGCCTAGCTAGGGGACGAGCAGAAGCGGTAGGTGGGGGGGGATCCTAACCTACGAGTGATACCATATCAGAAACTGAGAGAACAGAATGATGACTAGTGGGAGAGTACAGATAGATATACGTAAGTGTTGTACCCTCAAAGAGGTGACCCTATACAGTCTATGCAACCATGACAAATACACATGTTTGACATATTTAACCAAGGATCTTTGCTGGAATGGTAGACTAGTAAGACAGCGGAAGTCTTATCAGAGTGAACTTGAGCACATGAACTTGTGGGTAGTCGAAGGTTGAATAACCTGAGCACATAATTCTGTGGAAAGTCAAGGTTAATAATAGAAAGGCATTACAAGGATTTATAGCTCTAGGGAAGGTACCTGTTCGCTAATGTACCTGTTCGTCACTATCGCGCTATGCGACCTATTCGTCATTCTATAGGGTCGCAACTGTTCGTGTGACTGAAAAGGTTCGTTACGCCTAATCGCGTAACTGAAGCGGTATGCTGACGTTATGCCGAGACCCGCGATGCTTTGCTGACATCAGCACTCGGGCATGATTACTTGCTGAGAAACTCGATACTGCGAGCTACACTGAAAACGGAACTTGCAGGAATGTGAAACTTCATTTACCACAACAGGAGCTAGGCTTAGGAAAGTAGCAAGAGGTTTTAGACTAGGAGGAAAATGTCAAAAGAGAAGAAGTTGAAATTAGATGAGAGAGGGATACGAGGGAGTTGTACCCTCCACAGTAGGATTCGGCAAGGTAGTACACCTACCAAGCCTAACAGACATATATATATATGATTTGATAGAAGCTTCTCTGCTGGGTGAGCTAGCTGCGTTGCAGGGCTGTCGTTTGGCCAATCAGAAATCCCCCCTGCCAATCCCCCCCCCCCCCCCTTCTCGCCCCAACTGGGTTACCCAATTTGTTCTGTGCATCGGCTGGTTTGTTTCGCCAGTCAGCAGGTTCAAACCACTTTGAACCTTGTATTTATTCTGTGCGCTTGCTTTAAGATTATGAATTCCATCAGATTGGAGTGCGGCTGATTTGCTTGGGTGGTGTCTATGACATATGGAAGGCGTATTTAGTGGTGAATTGGCGAAATCGAACATGTATCTTGCAGGGTTTGTGGAGGTGTATACGAGACAGTTATTGGAGCTATTTGTCGGGAAACAACCTAGGAATCTGGACACCGTTACTGCCTGGAGTTTACGGACGAAAATCTACGTCAGATAACGGCGGTCTGCCTGACAGATTCGTAGCCAAGCTGACAGCAATATCACTTCAGCAGCACACAATGGGTGTTTGTTTACAGTCTCTTGTTCTCATTCGGTCACTCTTTCACTTGTAGTTAATCTCATTTGGTAGTTGACCTTCAGCTTACAATTAGTACTGAATGGCTGAGACCGCCATTTCTCAAAGCGGACAAGCTTCCCTGTGTCCTAGATTCAAGTTTTGCGGTTTGGCTAGACCAAGCTGTAAGTGCTTTGTAAGTATTTTTTTTCAGTGTGAAGCTCGTGGCTGCGAAGCTCATGGTTGCTAGCATCCGAATTCGTCCTGGCATTTGCCTTGCAGAGGGGTGTGCTGTGAAGCCCTACCAGGTGATTGGTTGAGGTGTAGTGACCACCTGCGCTAGTTCAGTAAACTTTCTAGCCGTGAGTCCACTGGATCCTCGTTGTAAGCGCTTGCAGATGACATGTCTCGAAGCTGTACAGCGCTGACGAGGATTTCTCAATCGCATTGCCGGAATTGCAGATTTTACAGATTATCCGGACCATTGTACTTAGTACTCGCCCTCGCATTCCTACTCGCCCGCTGTAACGCCACTTCGATACAAGCTGGCGACGATCCGACATTTGACTCCCCTTCATCCGGTGGTTACAGTTGTTGGAGTGGTTCCGCCACCAACAATGGACTACTTGTGACTTGGGGTGACGAGGAGAGAAATGCGGACTTGGGACGAGAAGGAACTAGGAAGCGGGTATTGCGTGAGCGTGAGGTGTACGGAAAGGGGAGAAGAAAGAGAGAAGATTGGTGGAAAGAAAGGAGAATGGTGGTTGAGTGGAAGAAAGGAGTGGAAGTGGCGAGAAACAGATTGACGTGGGGCAGAAGTTGGGTTTCGGACGGGGCGTGTTCAACAAGCATTCTGACTTCGGACCAGCGGCGTGTTCAGCGAGAAAGTCGCGGTTGCGTGTGCGACTCGGCTTGACACGAAGCGCGCGAGTTACACGCAGCGCACACGGCAGTTACGAATCGCGTTTGTTCTTTCTTGCTTGCCTATAAATCAGTATACTCTTGTGTGCTTTGTATCTCATTGGAACTAGTGGAATGCTTGTGTGTATTGACAAATTGCAACCACTTTGAGATCAGATTATGAGGCAAGGCCCTTGAGGCTATTTGCACAAGTATTTCTAAATACTTTTCGCTGCGCCGGAGGCGATAGTCGCCTAGAACTGGTATCAGAGCTAGCGTCGAATTGCTGGCGAATTTTTCTGCGTGGAGTCTACTTAGTGTGCTAAGTAGAGCAGAGGATTTAAAGGAGAGGAGCCTAAGCCTACGTCATGGCGGGTGACGAGGTTAGTTCGGGATCCAGTGTGAGCATTGAAGACCCGCAGATGAGAGCTCTCCTGGAGGCCTTGTCGAGGGGGCAGTTTGTGGTGAAACCGACGATTGGGCTCAGCGAGGCCCAACGTTTCAATGGAAGCAGCTACAGTACGTGGCGCTTGAAGTTCAGTCGAAGGGCAGAGGAGGTGGATCTCTGGCCCTACTACTCGCCGGACAAGGAGACAGGGGAGGGAGTACCTCCTACTGAGACGGAGGCGGCGGAGAAAATTGCAGAATTCAAAAGGAAGTGTTCTTTCAGTTGTGTCACTCAGTTTCCGACAGTATTGCCGTTAATTTGGACCCGTTTAAGCGTGAGGTGAATTCTGCGGAGAAGGCTTGGGCATGCTTTGAGAGCATGTACCTTAGGCCTAGCAACGCTAACAAGTCTGCTGTGCGTAAGAAGTTGTTGTTGCTCAGTATGGGAGAGGAAGAGAAGATGATCGACTATGTCAACAGGGCGCGCAGCCTTAACGATGAGCTAGCGGCGATGGGAGATGCTGAGAACGAGGAGCAAATGATCGAGCATCTAGCGAGTGAACTACCTGAGACATGGGCAGCAGAGAAGAGCGGCCTTGTTCTTCACCCTCCAGAGAGCATGACGCAGTTAGTGGACAAGCTGCAGTCGATTGAGGCGATGAAGATAGCGAGCAAGGGGAAGACAGAAGCTGCATATGGCGGGCAGGAGAAGCCGGGGATGGTGAATGCAGCAGCAGCTTGGAGGATTAGTGGTGCTTGTTACCACTGCGGTAAGAAAGGGCACAAGGCGATAGACTGCTACGACAATCCTAAGAGCAGGAAGGGGAAGGAAGCTGCAAGCAACGGAGAAGGTTGGCAGCAGCGGAAGGGGTTTGGAGGCACTTGCGATTTTTGTGGGAGGTACGGACATAGGGCAGCAGATTGCTATTCCAATCCAATCAGCAAGAGTTATAGGGGTCCAGCACATCAGCTGCGGAATGCACCGAAGGCGAATGTGATGGAAGCAGAAAAGGAGAAAGAAGATCCTATCCTTGGAGGCGCACATCGGGCGAACATCGCGCGTGCGTCAAACTTGCGAGCTGACGGGTTCAAGCTCCACGGCTGGTACTTCGACAGTGGCTGTACACAGCACATGACGAACAGGTCAGACTGGCTGGAGAATGTGAGGGAGTCGAGTGAGAAGTTCATACTGCTGGGAGATAGCACAAAGTTACCCGTCACGGGAGAAGGTGACGTCCTAATGCGAAGCAGGTTCGGGGAGTTGAAGCTGAAAGGAGTACTGCTGGTGAAGGACCTGTCAATGAATCTGATAGTCAGTCACAAATGGATGCATTGGGGTGTAAGGTACTCAACGACCGGGGCAAGGTTACAGTATTTGGTCCAACGTGGGAAGTGGTTGCAGACGGGAAGCTGAAGCGGGGTTTCTACGAGATGGATTTTATGCCGAAGCTGTTAGTAACGGACGAGTATGAGAAGGACAACATAAGCAATGAAGCTGTGGTTGTGAAGGAGGAGGCAAGAGCTGAGGCGACTAAGAAGCAGGATGCTGGAGATCATGCAACAAGCACGATGATGGCCAACAGAGTGGAGGCAGAGGTTGGAGAAACAGGATGGGAGGAGAAACAGAAGCAGGCAGCAGCAGAGACAAGGAAAGAGGAGATAGAACAGTCGGAGGAACCTGAGGGAAAGAAGCAGACAGTAACGACTATCAACTGGTTTGGTAAGATTTTGGAGGTCAGTAAGGAAGGATGGATAGTACGGGCTAGCGACGAGTTGTTCAGTGATTGTGAGGGTATCCTAGAATGGGCAAGAGAGATTAGGGACTCTACTGAGAGCGAGGAGTACAGTGAGGAGAACAAGCAGACCAATCCTTATCTGAGGGTTCAGAGTTATCCGTTCAAGCATGGTAAGCAGAAGCAAAAAACCAAGCAGTTGCAGGGGAGTATGGAGCTGACTTAGAGTGCGAGGATGGAGAATGCAGAGGAGCACTAGAAGAGAGAATCACATGGGAGGTGCGTGGTTGGCAGAACCACAGGGGAGGTTGTTGGAGTGGTTCCGCCACCAACAATGGACTACTTGTGACTTGGGGTGACGAGGAGAGAAATGCGGACTTGGGACGAGAAGGAACTAGGAAGCGGGTATTGCGTGAGCGTGAGATGTACGGAAAGGGGAGAAGAAAGAGAGAAGATTGGTGGAAAGAAAGGAGAATGGTGGTTGAGTGGAAGAAAGGAGTGGAAGTGGCGAGAAACAGATTGACGTGGGGCAGAAGTTGGGTTTCGGACGGGGCGTGTTCAACAAGCATTCTGACTTCGGACCGGTGGCGGTGGCGGTGGCACTGGCAGTAGCAGTAGCAACAGCGGCGCTAGCAGCGGTAGCAGCAGTACCAGTGATGGCGCTGGTGCTGGTGCAGCGGGTGCATCAGCCGCAGCAGGAGAGCGTTCCCGCGGTGATAAGGATGGCCAGGTGTCCTCGCGAGGAGGCGAAGGGGGAGAGCAGCAGGGGAGCAACGGGAAGGGCAAGAGCGAGGCAGCGCAGACACAGCTAGACGAGGACGATATCCCCCTGCTGATGCCGTTCAAAGGAATATTCAAGAGCAAGGACCTAGACGAGGAGATCAAAGAGGAGGAGGAGGAGGAGAGGAAGAAGGCGGTGGGGAAGAAGGAGGGGGGAGAGAGGGGGTCTGAGAGGAAGCGGCAGGTGGGGAGGCGGGAGTTTAGAAGCGACGACTGGAGCCACTTGGGGGAACACAAGATGGGGTTGTCGGCTGGTGAAGGCGGCGCTGCTGCTGCTGCTGCTAACACAGCTGGTGGTGGTGCTGCCGCTGGTGCTGGTGGTGAGGGCAGCGTCAGGGGTGGTGCTGCTGACAGAGACAGTGGTAGTGCTAGTAACCAAGCCAGCCATTCCCTGTCAACTGCCTCTTATGGCGCTTCACAGGCCACCCAAGGGACCACGGCTGCCACTGGGGAGGGGGAGCACGGGGCTGCTAAGCCAAGCGTGACTAAAACGAACAAGACAGCAGCGGGCGGCGAAAAGGGCGGCGATGTCGGGGAGCTGGTGGAGCGAATCCTCGACAGGCTGGGCGATATGGAGGACGAGGGAGGCAAGTTCAACAAAACCCTCGAAAAGCAGGAGGCAGTGCTAGAGACAGTAGCCCGGGTGGGGAAGCACCACGTGCTCGAGGAAGTGAAGGAGAGGGAGGAGCGGGAGGAGCAGGAGGACCGGCAGGTATTGGAGGAGGCAGAGAGGGAGGAGGCAGAGGAGAAAATGAAGCAGCTGGAAGAGGTGGCGCTGGCTATGGCTGCTGCTGAGGCTGAGAAGAAGCAGAAGAAGAAGGGAGTGGCGGCGGTAGCGGCGGTGGTGAGCCAGGGCGTGAAGGCGAGTGAGGTATCGCTGTTTGACTTGGTGTTCGGGCGGGAGAGCGGGAAACAGCTTCCCCCAGTTGCGCCTGCCCCTCGGCCCCGTGTGAAGAATCTCACCCGGTTGGCAGCAGCCAAGAAGCGGTTTGCTGAGAGGGCTGGGAGGGGGGCGAGGGAGAAGGAGAGGGTGGACGATGGGGAGAACGACGTTCCTAGACTGATAGACTCGCAGGACAATGAGTACGTTATAAGCAGCCCCGGTAAGGGGTCGAAGATGCAGCTGCAGGAGGACTTCATGCTTATATCGGATGTGGTGAAGGTGATTGTGGCGGCTGCGCTGGGAGGGCTGGCGTGCAGGCTCATGGGGCAGCCGATCATCCTGGGGTACATTGTTGCTGGGATGATCATCGGACCTGGGGGATTCGGCCTCATTCACGAGCTTGTGCAGGTGAGGCGGAATTCTCAGGGAGGGGAGAAGGGGAAAGAGGCGGAATTCTCAAGGGGGAAGGGGGGGGGGAACTGGTGAAGGTGGTTGTGGCAGCTGGACTGGGAGGGCCGGCGTGTGGACTGATGGGGCAGCTGATGGGGTACATTGTAGCAGGGATGACTATCAGCCCCAGGGGGGTTTGGCCTGATTCACGAGCTTGTGTAGGTGAGGCGGGGAAGATGAGGTAGGGAGGTCAGGTGATTGTGGTGGCTGGACTGGGAGGGCCAGCGTGCGGGCTGATGGGGCAGCGGAGCATTCTGGGGTACATTGTGATTGTGGCAGGGATGAATATCAACCCTGGGGGGTTCGGCCTCATCCAGGAGCTTTTGCAGGTGAGAGGGGGGGCAGGAGAGGTGGGGTGGATAGACTTGAGTGATGGATTGAGTGGCTGGCGTCGGATTGATGGGGGGTTGAGTGGCGGATGGCTGCGGCAGCCCATCATACCGGGGTACATCGTGGGAGGGATGATTATTGGACCCAGGGGATTCGGCCTCATTCACGAGCTCGTGCAGGTGAGATGTGGTGTGAGGCGCATCATGCGCAGGGAGGGCTGGCGTGCGGACTCATGGGGCAGCCCTGTCAGACTGGCATACAGTGAACTAACCAGGGATGATCGTTGGTCCCAGGGGATTCGGCCTCATCCACAAGCTTGCGCAGGTGATGCAGGGTTCTCAGGGGAGAGAGAGGGAGGGGGGGGGGGGGCAAGAGAGTGGGGGAAGAGGGGGGGGGGAAGGGGGGTTCCTGGTGAAGGTGGTTCTGACGGCTCTACTGGGAGGGCCGGCGTCTGGGCTGATGGGGCAGCCGAGCGTGGCGGAACATGATGCAAACTGGTTGCATCTTGAAGCAGCATCATGCGCACCAGGCTCAATTCCCCTCTCTGCCTCTCAGCTTCGGAACATCATGCGTTCACCACCACCTCCTCCATTTCGTACCCCCATTCCCCCCTCTCTTGTCCCTCTCAGGTGGAAACCCTAGCGCAGTGCGGAGTGATCTTTCTTCTCTTCGCCATCGGGGTGGAATTGAGCCTGGTGCGCATGCAAGGCATGCATGCAGTGGCGCTGGCCGGGGACATCATCTTAAGCAGCAACACGAGTTCACCCCCGCCTCCTCCCTTTCTTACCCCCTTCAAACCTCAGCCTACACTACAAAAAAGGCTGAAAAGATCAGACTAAGCTATAAAAAAAAGTCTGAAATTGACAGCCTTACCTACCTTATTCTCCCGGATACAGTAATGCCGGAATTAAGCTCCCATGGGGGGCTTGAGCGGGTATGGGTGTTTAATTAAACTGGATCTAGTTACTGTCAAACATGTGTATATCTTATGTTTGCATAGACTGTAAAGGGTCACCTCTTAGAGGGTACAACACTTAGGTATATTTTTTTGTACTCTCTCTCTCTCTCTCTCTCTCTCTCTCTCTCTCTCTAATTCATTATTCAGTTCTGAGATGGTGTCAGTAGTAGGTAGGTCCCTGCCCACCCATGCTTCCGCTCTAGGACCTACCCGCCCCTCCTAGCTGCGCCCGCCCTAGTCGCGCCCGCCCTAGTCGCGCCCGTCCTAGCCGCGCCCGCTCGCCCCTCCTCACGGCCCTCGCGCCCCTCCTTACGGCCCTCGCGCCCCGCGCGCCACCTCCCCTCGGCCCTAGCGCCCGTCCTAGCCGGCCCCGTGCCCGCCCTGCCGGCCCCGTTCCCGCCCTAGCGGCCCCCCCCTGCGCCCGTCCTAGCCGGCCCCGTGCCCGCCCTAGCTGCCCCCGTGCCCGCCCTCTTGGCCCCACGCCCGTGCCCGCCCTAGCGGCCCCACGCCCGTGCCCGCCCTAGCGGCCCCTCGTGCCCGCCCTAGCGCCCGCCCTAGCCGGCCCCGTGCACGCCCCAGCGCCCCGCCCTAGCGGCTCTCCGTGCACGCCCTAGCGCCCCGCCCTAGCGGCCCCTCGTCCCCGCCTAGCGCTCGCCCTAGCGCCCCCCCGTGAACGCCCTTGCGGCCCCTCGTGCCCGCCCCAGCGGCCCCCGCGCTCTCCCTAGCGGCCCCAGCGCCCGCCCTAGCGGCCCCAGCGCCCGCCCCAGCGGCCCCAGCGCCCGCCCTAGCGGCCCCCGCGCTCTCCCTCTCGGCCCATGCACCCGTCCCAGCCGGCCCCGCGCCCGCCCTCGCGACTCCCGCGCCCGTCCGCTCGGCCCCTGCGCCCGTCCCGGTCGGCCCCGCGCCCGTCCCAACCGGCCCCGGGCTTGTCCCCGTCGGCCCTGCACTCGCCCCGCCGGCCTGGTGCCCGCTGCTCCTGGCCCCCGCGCCCGTCCTGCCCCGAGTTGTGTGCGGCCCGCTCGTCGTGCCTGCTCCGGCCCTGCGCTCTTCCTGGTACGGTTCCCCGTCACTTGCACCGCCCGTTACCGCACTGCACTGCACTGCACCACCCTGCACCGCACTGCACCGCCCTGCACCGCGCTGCACCGCACTGCACCACACTGTACCGCACTGCACCACACTGTACTGCCCTGTATGGTCCCGCACTGCTCCTGATGGTGGCGGAGCTCCGCTTCGACGCTGAAGGCCAGCCTCTGGAGCTCGAGGCATGGCTTGCCAACCTCCGCCGCCACCTCACTGGCCAGCGTCAGGATGGCCACCCGCTTTCCGCACACCTTGACGGTACGCTCCCCTGCCCAGACCCCCCTGCTGTGCTGTCCGCTGACCCCACACCCGCTGAGCGCGAGTCTACTGCAGCCGCTGCCCTTGCGCGCTCTTTCAGGCTTTCCCGAGACGCTGTCGCCCAGCTTGCCATTAGCAATGCCCTTCCCCCGTCTGAGCGCCCTCGCTTTAGGTCCATCACTACCACCCAGGCTTTCTTAGATGCTGTCATCAAGCGCTATTCCACCCCTCCTGCTGCCTCGGTGGGTCGTCTGATCCTTCCGATGCTCTTTCCTGACCTTGCGTCTTTCCCCACTATCGCTGACCTAGCTGCCCACCTGCGCACGATAGATGAGACCTGGCGCGCTGCCCTCACTGACGCACAGCTTTGAGCCCACCAGCCACCCATTACCTCTACCCTCTACCTGCTTGCCACCCGCCTCCCTGATCGCCTTGCCGCCGCCCGCGACCGCTTCCTCAGCATTCACCCCGGTGAGCTTACCCTCACCGACTTTGTAGACACCCTGATAGTTATAGAGACCCGCCACCGCTCCATCGCCCAGGCGAGCGGTACTGTGCCAGTCCCTATCTTTCAGGGTTGTGCCCCCGCTCAGTGTACCTTCTCTGACGGTTCTGCCGCTGTGGCTGAGACCACTGCTGCAGCGCAGTTCCGTTCGGGGAAGGGCCGCCGCCCCAAGGCTCGGCGCGGCGGAGGAGGAGCGGGTGCAGGTGGGGGTGGTGGTGGAGTCGGGTCGTGTGGTGCTGGAGCGGACGAGGGGACCCTGCCCGGTTCAGCTGAGCAGCCGCCTCTGCAGCAGCAGCAGCCGCAGCAGTCGCAGCAGCCACCGCAACCGCAGCAGCCGCCGCAGACGAGGCAGCCGAGTGTCCTCCCGCCTGGGTGGCCTGGCGCTGGAGGTGGTCGTGCTCGTGGTGGTGTGCCGGTTGGTGGCTTGGGAGGCGTGCGTTGTCAGTACCAGATCCAGACCGGTCCTCACCGCGGTTTCGTTTGCGGTAAGCTCGGTCATAGCACTCCTCGCTGTTTCCGTCGCGTGGACGACCTGTTTCGTCAGCGCTTCGGCCCGTCGCCAGACCTCCCGGACTGGCACAGTTTGCTTAGTCGTAGGATTCAGATTTTTGACATGGACATGGATGCCATTGTTTCTGCTCTGCATGTGATGTATGCTGATGACTCTAGTGTGCTTCCCGCTTATTACTCACCTCCATGATCCATGCCGGTGCACCCCATTTTCTGTGGCCGTTCGCCGTGCGCTACGCTTCTCACCAGCTTCTCCTGTGGCCGCACCCCCAGCAGCCGCAGGTTTCGCCGACCCGTCTTTGGATCGAGTCACCTGGTGAAGCGACTGCGTTCCACGTCTGGGGCTGCATGGCTCACGTCCGTTCCTCCGGCACGGACAAGCTCACTGCCCGCACCCTTCCCTGCGTCTTCCTAGGTTTTCCCCTTGACGCGTCCGTCGGGCACTTCTACCACCCGCCGTCTCACCGCTTCTTTCACTCTCGGGACGTCACCTTTGACGAGTCCGTCTCCTTCTACCGTCGCTTCCCCCACCGCGGTCCCCCGGTTACCCCCCCCCATGTTCCTGGTCCCTCCTTCCTCGGTGGTCCCTGCCCCTTCCCCTCCCCCTCCCCGTCCTGCCCTCTCTGGTGTGTCCCACGTCACTCCTCTCCCGTCGGTTGTCCCGGTTGAGGGGTCTTCTGACTGTGGTGGTCCTGCGGCGCAGTCCTCGCCGTCTGCCCCTCCCCAGGTGTCCCCTCCTCCACCGCCCCTGCAGCCGCCGTCGCCTCTGCTGTCACCGCCGTCGTCCCCGCCGCTGCCGCCGCCATCGCAGCAGCCGTTTGTTACCTCTGGGGGTGCTGGCGTTGGAGTGGGTCCTAGCCCCGGTGGCCCTGGGGGTGGTGCCGGTGCCCGAGGGGTTTCGGGCCCTCCGAGTGTTCCTTCTGAGGGTGCTGGAGTGGAGTCTGCCGGTGGTAGCCGAGGAGCAGCTTGCGGTCCCGGTGTCGGCGTTGTGCCGCAGCAGCAGCAGTCCCCGCCGGTGTCTGGACTTCGCCAGCTCGGCCTTCCGTCCCCTGCCCTTGCGTCGGTTCCTCTCCTCCCGTCTCCTCCTCTTCCCGTTTACGGCCCTGTGTTCTCTCCGCCGGACTCGTCCCTGGCTTTTCTTCCCCCTCGCTCTCCCGTTGTGTCCCCTCCTCTTTCCCCTGATCCGACTCCTCCGTCTCACGTCTGGTCTCGCCGTCCCTCCCGTGCTCGTCCCGTCTCCCCAGTCACGCGCACTCACCCTATGTTGCTTCCTTCCCACGTGTCTCGTCCTCCCCTTCTCCCGTCCCCTCCTCCATCCTCCCTTGTCGTTGCTCCCCCCCCTCTGTCTGACTACCTTCGTGCCGCCCGTCCTCTCGTTCCTCGGGTCCTTGCCTCTCTCGTTACCGGCCCGTCTGTTCCGGTTTCGTGTCTTGACGCTCTTGTCGCTACGGTCGCTGACTTCGCCTCTACCCGCCGCCTTGACTACGCCACTCCTCTGGTCTCTGACCCTGCCAGTCCTCCGTCTGTCGGGGGTGCTCCTGCCATCGGCAGTGACGTCCTGGAGGACCGCCAGTTCGAGCTTGCTTTCCTGTCCGAGGCTGCTCCCCATCTCTGTTCCATGCTGCTAGTCCCTGAGGGTGACCCAGACGCTTTCGACATCCCGACCCCTCGCACTTACGCTGAGGCTACCTCGCGACCCTAGCCATCCCAGTGGATAGCTGCCATGGAGCAGGAGATGGCATCTTGGAGATCCACCGGCACCTTCGTCGACGCAGTTCCCCCACCTGGGGTGAACATAGTCGATGGCCGCTGGCTCTTCAAGGTGAAGCGCACTCCTGGAGAGCCGCCTGTGTTCAAGGCGCGCTACGTGGCTAGAGGTTTCCGTCAGCGTGAGGGGGTGGACTTCTTCCAGACCTTCGCTCCGACCCCGAAGATGACTACTCTTCGGGTTCTACTACACCTAGCAGCTCAGCGTGACTACGAGCTTCACTCCCTCGACTTCTCCACTGCCTTCCTTCAGGGCAGCCTACACGAGCAGGTCTAACTGCGTCGCCCTCAGGGCTTCACAGGCACCTTCCCCCCTGGGACCCAGTGGCTCTTGCGGCGTCCCGTCTATGGCCTGCGACAGGCTCCCCGTGAGTGGCACGACACGATGCGTGCTACGCTTGCTGACCTTCTGTTCTTTCTGTCCTCGGCATACCCCTCTCTCTTCGTTCGTGCTGGCCAGACTCCGTTCTACATCCTTGTGTAGGTGGACAATATTGTCTTTGCCACAGCAGACAGAGACGCACTGGCCTCCGTGAAGGCAGAGCTGCTGAAGAGGCACACTTGCACTGACCTTGGAGAACGGCCCCATTACCTTGGCTTGCAGATCTCCAAGGACAGAGCAGCGCGCATCATTACCTTGACTCAGTCACACTTGGTGCGCCAGGTCCTTCAGAGGTTCAGCCTTCAGTTCTCCTCTGCACAGCCCACCCCTCTGCCTCTAGACCACAGACTCTCCGCTCTAGTTCCTGAGGAGTCAGTAGAGCCCAGTGGTCCTTACGCTGAGCTGGTGGGTTGCCTCATGTACCTGATGACTTGCACTCGCCCTGATCTCGCATACCCTCTCAGCATTCTGGCTTGCTTTGTGGCCACAGGCAGACACCGGCCGCAGCACTGGTCTGCCGCTAAGAGGGTCTTGCGTTATCTTGCAAGTACATCAGGCATGGGGTTAGTGCTAGGAGGA